AGTTTAGGGTTTAGGGTTTAGAGTTTAGGGTTTAGGGTTTAGAGTTTAGGGTTTAGGGTTTAGAGTTTAGGGTTTAGGATTTAGGGTTTAGGGTGTAAGAGCAACTGTAATTCAACTTGATCGTGGATTGTAGCAGTAGGTTTTGAGCAACATGCCCTAAATTACTGCAGCAGTGTCTTAACCACGAAACCAAGAAATTAGTTGTACATCAGCGTACCCAATCCGTGAACCTCCATCCTTGCACGCGGAATAGCAGCCAGAAAGTTGAACATCGTGATACTGAAGAAACGGAATCCTTGCACTAACCATCCTGATCCCTTACTCCATGTTCCAGCTCTCTGGAGTTTACTGCAAGCCCAACCCCTGAGGCCCGAAATACAGAAATGTCGAAAGTCTAGAAGGAATACCTACTTTGAGCTACTTATAATTGAAGCCGAATCTTTCAAACGGGGGATTTATGTAGGATAATTATTACTTCCTTATTATGGCTATAGTATAACATACCCCCAAACCATGTTCTAAGTATTAAGGCCCCTATATTAAAGCGCCTGGGTCTTGCCCACCCTCCACGATCTGATTGCACGGGGTTTTTGTTTAGCTGACCCATGGCACATGGGTCTCCTTCTGGAGGTTCTGTGGGCTCTATACTCGGAGGATCATGGGACTTAGCAGGTAAGGTTATAAGTACCTTAACTGGGGTTATAAGTAGTTATAGGTCTAGGTATCGTTATACCTTACTTATAACCCTAGTTACTAAGTCCCATGATCCTCTAAATAAGGGCTCTATCAGGGTTCGGTTCGAAGGTTTATGGGGCTTGATTCTATTGTGGAGGGTGTCTTGGTTTTGGGGCATCGTATACGGTGTGTTGTCGGGACAGGGCCTGCGGTTGAAGCATCGGACCAGAACCGCAAACTTGCTTAGTTTAGCCCCGGACCCATAGCCCGGACGCCATGCATCTCAACGCACCTAAATCTCCACATGATCGAATCCTTAAAAGAGCCCTTGTGCAAGCCCTCAACGTCCCCGACCTGACTGTGAAAGCCCCGTGCCCAGAAGACTCAAGCCCAACCACCGAAACCCTAACCTCTCAAACCCCAGTACTGTAATGTAGGAGCCTGAACAAGGTTTGCGGGTATAGTGTATATGTATACATAAATATATATAGATGACAAGTAGGAGCCCCCAAACCAGTAATGGTATTCAATTTGTCCCTATAATCAACATCCCCTAAACCCTAAACCTCCCTAAACCCTACACCCCAATCCTAAATCCTAAATCCCATTACCGTGATCTCTGTCTTTTCCAGGCCAGTTGCCGGAACGCTGCGAAGATCTTGGTCTACCAGGCGAACATGCGGCCAGACCTGACGGTTGGGAGTTTGGAAGTTTTTCGGTGGTTTAGGGTTCAGGGCTTCGGGTTCAGGGTCTAGGGTTTATCGGGTTTAGGGGTTTAGGGCTTACGACTTAAGTTGAGGGCTTTGCCCCTAAAACCTCACAAACCCTAAACCCTAAGGTTCAGCGTTTAGCCCTAACCCCCCAAATCCTTTCGGATTTGGGAGTTTGGGGTGCTTCGTTGGGCCATCTCCGGGAGGGGGGGCGCCTGAGTCTTGAAAGGACGCTTTGGAGACAAAGACTCTCCAGGAATCCTCAAACCATCCTAACCCCTATGTAAAGCCCAAACCTTGAACCATGCACCCTAGAAGGATCCGAATTCGGCGCAGAGCGTCGATAGAAGGGTTGAATGCAGTCTGCTGCTGAGGAGGTCCAGTTTCATGTGGAGGGCATGTGGAGCCGAACAAAACCGAAACTCTATCTGCCCATGGTCTATCCCATGCTAGTTTTGGACACGTCAATCTGCTGCAGGTCATGGTTGCAATTGCCCAAGCTTCCTCTGCAGTAGAAGCCCCAAAGTTGGAAACCCAATAACCTCGATCCTTAAGAGTACTATATAGGGAATCCCAACACTATTTGGCATTGATCCGGATTGAAACTTGATGGGTTTTACTGCACTTGGGGATGATGGGACTCAGTAAGCAGGGCCTTAACTGGGGTTATAAGTAGTGTTTAGTATAGTTAGCTTGCTTAAAACCCTAAGTCCCATGATCCTCTAAGTAGACCATCACGAAGACCGAAGATCACAAACGGCCTGGCCTGATTTTGGGGTATGGGTTGGGAAGGCATCTCGGGCTTTTGGCTTTAGGTTTTTGGGTTGGGGTTTAGGATCTCCAAAAAATTTCGGAATCCATTATCATGACGGTCGTGTGAGTGAACCCTCTTGCTTGATGTGCAATAGCAATATGCCAGAAACCCTAGAATCAAAACCTTAGTCTAAAGAAGCCCAAACCCTAAGCCCCAAGCACCATAATTACCCTGAAACCCCAAAACCAAACTCCTAAACCCTTGTCTCAGAGCTCGGCATAAGCTTCAAGACTATACTGGTACCGGATGCCGGCCCAATCCTCGGGGTAAGCTGCGAGATGCGTCGGGTAGCAAGTAAGGTTTAGGGTTTAAGGTGTGGGGTTTGGGGTGTTTTGGATGTATTTTTAACATTTTAGGCTTTGCGGTTCTTTTTTTGCTTTAAGGGCCTCTTTCCATTCTGCAGGTGCGTTTTGGGTTTCGGGTTCGGGGCTTCAGGCCTCGTGTTCTCCGGATATTAAAAGCAGAGCCCGTGTCACAACTAATGTTGGAACCTGATTAAGAAACCTTGAGCCCTAATCGGGGTTCCTTACATGAACCCTACTATTTTGGGGATTATAGGCTCAGGGCTTCTTAGTCAGGTTCCTAAATTTGGCATCCTAACATTAACTCAGCATGGCAGGGCCTGTCCGAGTAAGTCAGTTGAACCCCTGAGCACGGCGACTGTTTCTTACGCACCCTGCCCACCTATGACCCAGATGGGCGCAGCATGTTCATACTTAGGTCGGCAAGATACATGGGAATTAAGGGGATTCGTTAAGTGTTCAGCCACTGCTTGCAAGGCTCTGGCGCCTGGAGCATGGGAGAAAGTAAAAGAAGGCAAGACAAGTACAGCTCACGGTGGAGGTTCCGATAGGGGCCTCTGCGAACAAAAAAAGCTCTCAACCCTAAACCCCTAAACCCTAAACCCGGTGTGAAGTGCGTTGGCTTCTACGGTGGCTTTAAAATCGTGGCAGGCCATGACCAGGGATCCGCCTGGTTATACTTGGAGGATCATGGGACTTACCATGAGGCTCGGGGGACTTAGTAACTGGTTACTTTAGGGACGTATAAGTACCATAACCCCAATTAGGGCCCCTTCTAGGGTACTTATAAGTCTACCTACTACCTACTAAGTCCCCCGACCCTCCAAGTAGCAAGTAAGGTTATGGGTATCTTAACGGGGTTATAAGTAGCTATAAGTATAGCTACCCTACCTTATAACCCTAGTTGCTAAGTCCCATGACCCTCTAAATATACCCCCCCCCAAACCTATATAGAACCCTTAATGGTATCCCTTATAGACCCCTAGGAACCCTTTAAAGGAACCCTGGTTGCTATATAAGTCCCATGATCCTTTAAGCATGGGAGCTTCCCGAAGGTAGGGGATCTGTCTCTTTGGGGACATCTATGGGGGTTTCCGAAAGTTAAGGTTCCTTTAGGAAGCTACTGTGCGTACAATAGGGGTTCCCGTAAAGGGCTCTATATGGAGCTTCCGAAATTAGGGGGTACCTTACTTTGGAGTCTTTATAATAAGGATCCTACATTTTAGGGTACTACATTCGGGTTTCCCCTATGCTTTTGGCCCCCACTTTCAATGAATCTCAACCGCGCACATGTTGCGAAATATCTTGCGCAACCCTGAACCCTAAACCTTAAACCAACTCAAGCCCCCTGCACCCTGACCCTTGAACGCCTCATCCTAAGGCCTCGAAAACCCCCAAAACCAAAAACCTCTAATCTAGGAGCCTGATTAAGAAACCCTGGGTCTCTATTAGGCTCCTTATATGAATCCTGCTGTTTGAGGGTTATAGGGCCAGGGTTTCCTAATCAGGTTCCGACATTTGAGACGACATCTGTGTGAAGCCAAAACCTGTGTCTGCGCTCTTTTTGTTTCCCTTCAGGTTGCAGCATGAAACAGGGCTGTGCCCAAGACATGTCCTTAGCTGGGCATGTTTTTTCATGGTGGCGTTCCTACAGGGTTTGGGGTTGAGAGTTTAGGATTTATCCTTAGCTTGGCAGTTGTCACGTTGGGGTGCTGACTGGCGTTGGTACTATACTCAAAATCCTATAACTGTGCATAGCTGCATGCCAGTAAAGACTTGTGTGGACGACATGTGAGTATGGCCCTGTTCATGTTTAGAAGTAATGTAGGAATCTGATTAAGAAACCTTGGGCCTTTATTTAGGTTCCTGATTTGAATCCTACTATTTGGGGTTATAGGCCCAGAGTTTCTGAATCAGGTTCTTACATTATGCACGAAGCTCAGGAACTTCAGTCTACCCAGAGGTCCCATAGTAGTTCTTATAGGATTCTTTACATGAAGCCCAAAAAAGAACTACTTTGGGGCCTCTGGGTAGTTGTTCAAGTTCCTAGCTTCTGCATCTCTGCACACATACAGCAGCACGCAAACGTGTGGGCTCCATTCAGCGCTCTTGCCTCTCAGAACCTGAATCCTGCTGTACATCCTGCGAAATTCCTCAACCCCAAACCGTATACCTTAAACCCTAAGCCCGTAACCCAAAACCGTATGCCCCTGAACGCCCTAAGACTTTGAAGCTCAAACTGGCTACCCTGAGCCCCCCCCCCTGGGGGTTCAGGGCAGAAGGTGCTTTTGATTCGTTTGCAGGATAGATCAGCACCACTGGCTTTTGAAAAATCTCCTCCCCTAGACTTTGTAGACCCTGAAGTACGAAAGCAAGAATCCCACTGCCCGCCCAACCCTAGATCCTAAATTCTAAACTAAACCCCAAACCAAGACAAAAAATGCTACTGTCTCCTTGGTGTCGAAACGCACAGGCGCAGAACCCGGTTTGCGAACGCCGTTAGTCCTTTCGCAGCAGTTTGGGTAGGACATACCTAAACCTAGAGTAACCAAGGTACCTTTAGAAAGGCAAATGTACCCATGTAGATTGGTTACTCAGGGTTCACGGTGTCGATTTAGTTCCTGCGGCTTGCAGTTTAAGGGGGTCTGACTGTATGAGTCTGCATTTGTAGCATGGACGTCGCTGATGTGTCGACATGAAAGACGAACCGTCCTCCCGGGCTGCGCAGGTTCAAATTCGATACTCCCAACCCCTTTTCTTCTCATTGAGGCCCCTGTTCTACTGACGGTTTAGGGGTTTCGGCTGAGGTTTTGCCTTTTTTTGGTGTAGGACTTTAGGGTTGTAAAGGGTTCACAGTTTTTTTTCAGGCTTGTAGTGGGCGTTTCTATAGAAGCGGCCTGAAAATTAGCAGACGGGTTTTTGGGGCTCGGGTTTCCATGGCGACACCTGCCTACTCATGTCGAAGCCCTGAACAGTAAGTCGGCAACTATGCGCAACTCAGCCTTCGTAACACCAGCCCTAAACCCTATCCTGACGGCTCCACTTATACAAATCGCACCTGCTCTTGGGCCTACATTTCAGATTCATACCTGATACCTAGTTCGGACCATGTGGAGATGCAGAGTAATTACACCCGAAACCCTATCGCTATAGACCCTAGCCGGTGCCTCATCTTCTGCATCGGTCAGCCCCAGCGCGCCTTGGAGGTGGCAGCTAGTCACAAGAGAGAGTTTCGGGTTAGGGGTTTAGGGTTTAGGGTTTTTTAGGGTTTAGGGTTTAGCTCTACCTAGACCCTCCTAGGAATAAAAGCGTGCCCTTTTTGGTTTAAAGGGGGCTTATAAGGGAACCTGAACCCCCCAAAAAGGGAATAAGGGCCTACTCTATGTCCTAGCTACGTAGTTACTGGGGTTTCGAGAGTCTCCTAAGGAAGCTGACAACTCGAAGGGAGCGAAACACCAGAACAGCCCATGTAGCCGGTATACGATAACCGTTAAATTTAGGGTTTAGGGGTTTAGGGTTTAGGGCACTTCGTGCCAGGTGCCCTTCAACTAGTACATACTGTGAGGCAGCCGTGCTCAGAGTGAGTGTTAGATGGCATCAAGCAACATGGATCTTGTGAAGCTGTCCAAGCCAAAGGTACCAAGCACCTCTGTAACCTCAAACATCCTGGTAGCTACATTGTACATGCAACCCTAAGTACGTATACATACATACGGTTGATGATATAAATCCTGCATGACCCATAGTAAGGAACATACCATAATTCCCATAGTTAGGGTCCTTAAGGTAATGCAGGATTTATATCATCCACCGTAGTATTAGGCCTGGTTTCACTTCATTGTTAGATATGCAAGAAGCCTTGAGTAGATGGGCTCGGGGTCTTGGAGCCCTGAACCCTATAAAAATACCCTAAACCCCTAAACCCCAAAACCCTAAGCCCTAAACCCCTAAACCCCAAAACCCTAAGCTCTAAACCCCTAAACCCCAAAACCCTAAGCCCTAAACCCCTAAACCCCAAAACCCTAAGCCCTAAACCCCTAAACCCTAGATCATTGGGTTCGGGATAGCACCCGGATCTAGGGTTCGGGGTATAGGTTTTAGGATTCAATCGCTCGGGTTTAGGGTTCCTTCAATGGTTCCTTTAAGGGTTAAGGATTTAGGGGTTAGGATTTAGGGTTCCTTTAAGCCCCAAACCGCGGAGCCCGAGACACTCACACACCAAAACATGGAAAACAAGAGAACTTGATAAGCATACCCTAACTCTAAGGCTCGAAGGACTCATTTTGTTTTTTAAGGCTTTTGGGCCCAAAGACCATACTGTATAAGGCTTTGGGGCTAATTTGAGCCTTAGGGTAAACTCCCAGCATCCACGGTTAACCAAACTCAAGCCTCCGAAGAAAGACCCACAGAAACAATTTAAAGCCGACAGCCCGTGTAACGCCTTAATGCTGAATCCATGTATCCTGAACTCTGTGCATTAATTAATCAAAATCTACGCTATAAACAAACCTTCATCTGGACTTAAGTGTTTGACTGTTGAATTAATGCTAATGTACACCAGGGAGCCATAAGTCCCCGCAGAAGAACCTGGATAGAGCCCTGATAGACACCTTATTAGTCTAACTACAAATGACCCCCTAAACCCTAAACCTGCCCCCCTAAACCCCTAAAGCCCTAAATCCTCACCCTCAAGCCGGATCTCTGCGCCGCCACTCTCGGATATCATCCTCATCGACCAGCTGGTCCTGCGCAATGCACCAATGCTGATGTAGGGGCCTTGATGATTAGGATAGGGTCTTGAGGCCGTAGTTTTAATAAGGAGCCCCCAAACTAGTATTGGTATTTATCCAGGCCCCGAAAGTATCTCTTTCCTTCGGAGGGGTCGGTCTTGGCTACGAGTGGCTAGACGTACCTGTTTCGGGCTGAGGGTTTAGAGGTTACAGGGCTCGACAATATACGTACCTTGAATTCCAGACGGATCCTGATTCAGTCTGAGGTAGGAGTAAGGGTTTAGGGTGTAGGGTTTAGGACCCTGCTAATGAGCTTCCGATCGTGAAGGGCACAGAAGGTCCAGGCTGATGGTCGGCCGTAGAAGGTTTGGAGTTCAGGGTTTAGGGTTTAAGGGTAAACCCCAATTACCCAATATATCTTGAATACCCAACAAGTTGGTAACCATTAACTAGGTTGCCCACCCAAAGCAGGCTACGATCCAGAGTCCTTATATAAACACTAAACTCTAAGTCTAAGCCCTGAACCTTTCAACCGTAAACCCTAGCTTGAACCCTAAACCCTAGCCTATACCCGTGCGCCCGGGCTAAAAGTTTTGGTTTGTGATGGCAGGGTTGGGGTTTGCAGCCTCGGATGCCCGAATATGGCTCCATTGCCTATGTAGTATATGCATTCATCGCGTTGTAGCTTTTGGGAACATGGAACCATTGGGCCAGTCGGTGTAGCGAGCAGAAGTGCACACTCAAGACCGAGGGTCGCGAGCGTCGACGACTTTGTCCCAAGCGCAGCGAATCGCGCGGCAGCAGACTTTGTACATGGTGTCGCCGACCTCAGCGCTTCTTAAGGTTCAAAGCTTAGGGCTTAGAGATTAGGGTTTAGGTGGTTGGGATGATGGGTTCTGGAATTGATGCTGTTTCGACTGTTCCCCTCTCTGGGTTATAGACTCCCAAAGTACTACTAACCAATAGTGATCACCCTCCTGTTCCACCTCGTCCGACTGCTACCACGACTACCTCTATTGCCACTACTAGCGTGATTCTGGGTTATCCTGGTGGTAGTACTAGTGGCAGTAGCAGTAGCAGTAGCTGTATACCAGTAGCAGTAGCAGCAGTAGCAGCAGTAGCAGCGGTAGCAGCGGTAGCAGCGGTAGCAGCGGTAGCAGTGTAGCAATACTCAGTAGCAGTAGTAGTCGTAGTAGTGGTAGTAGTAGTAGTAGTCGTCGTCGTCGTGGTGGTGGTGGTGGTGGTAGTAGTAGTAGTAGGAGCGGCAGCAACAGTAGTGGTGGTATATTGAGGGTCCCTGTTTTGCTGAGACAATCGAGCCCAACCTGGAAGCTGGTTGACACCTGTGAAAACACCATGAAACCCTCTTGTCAAGGCCTCGTGGCATCCCAGGGTTACGTGCTTAGGGTCCGGGAAACACACCACCCCCATGCGAATGTCGCTGCGCCTGTTGCTTAGCGACCTTCTTCAGGTTGTCTGGGCTGACCTGAAACTAATTTTGTACAATTGCAGAGGGTGTGGTTGGGGCGTTGTAAGGCTAGGTCTCGTACAGCTTAGCTTTTCTATACTCGACTATGTCTGCCGTCAAATTTTATTGACACTTGTCTGGAAGCTTCCTACATGTCGCGATGATATAGGTGCCCCATAGTTAGAAGTGTTTTTGCTGCAAAGTCTACTCTAAGTATAACCCATCATACTAAGCAACCCTGAAGGATGGTGTTACTAAGTGTTCAGGCTTCCGTGTTACTTGAGCTGCTGCATCTCAGGGCGCAGACGCGAAAGTTGAGAGTCCGAAAGGATTCAAAGTTGGGGCCCAGGCCTCTACCTTCCAACTTGATACGGTTGATGATATAAATCCTGCATTACCCATGATAGGGAAAATACCATAGTTCCCATAGTCTCGGTCTAGGGTCCTGCACTGAAGGCAATGCAGGGTTTATATTTATGTCATCAACCGTAGGAGCTTTTACAATGAACCCCAAACCACGAGGGCTTGTAGGGTTCAGGGCTAGGGGCTTGGACCTGCGCGCGAGGCTTTGGGTTGCGGGCTTTTTGAAGACTGCATCATCGAGCTTTAATTCTTCCAGGTTTATAAGGCTTATGGGGTGGGAACATACTTTGCATGTATTATGCATGGAGATGGAGTGCTGCATTGATCGGTGACGAAGAAGATGGTGGCAACGGAGATTGTCATACTGCGTCCTTCTAGGCGGAAGATGCACGCATTCGTTTTGCTCGTGCAATGCTGTTCAGGCTGTATTCCAAAACCCCTAAACGTGCACTCAAATTATGCACACCTCTAGTACATCATTGAACCCTGGCCAGAAGCCACAACAACAAGGCCAACGCAACGACAAATTTCTCATATCAATACGCTGGCACTGGCACCTGCAACACCTAGAAACCTCATTGAAGCCCTACATCCAAAGCCTTACACCCTTTGAGACCCAAACCGGCTACAGCCGGAAATCCTGAGTATCCTCAGGCTCGAGGCAGCATAAGAAGCGAAGAAACTATGGTGTTTGGGCCCAACAGCTATAACGCTAAGGGTCCATGTACCCGGAATGATATACATATATATATATATACTTTGGCCATGAAGTACCTATACTGGGACTACTTTCAGGCCAAAGTATCTAGAATCTGGGCACATGGCCCCTGGGAGTAGAAAGAGTCCTTCGAGCCTCAGGGCAAAAGACCTAAACACAGTCAACCTCCAACTTGGGGCCAGCGACACGAGAACATGACACAGATCCCGCTTCGACGACAATGCAGCTCGACAAGCAATGCCTGGGAGAGTTTTGGGTTCCGGTTGAGGGTTTTGGGGTCTAGGGTCCAGGGGTGTAGGGTTTAGGGGTTCAGGGGTTTGGGTTTTAGGGCTAAGGTTTACGGACCCTACATCGAACCTAAGAGAGAGCCTTAAGTCCTAGAGGGGGCCCTGTTCCCTAGCATGTGAGGCTGAATAGTTACCCCAAGGTTCAAAACAGCCCCCAAACTTCATGTAGTATGGTCTTCGGGCCTGAAAGCCTTGTAAGTCTCGGAGCCTGAGAGTTCAGCTCAGACTAGCTTTACGTGCGCATGTGTGTGTGTGTGTGTGTGTGTGTGTCTGTGTGTATGTGTCTGTGTGTGTGTGTGTGTCTGTGTGTGTGTCTGTGTGTGTGTGTCTGTGTCTGTGTCTGTGTCTGTGTCTGTGTCTGTGTCTGTGTCTGTGTCTGTGTGTGTGTGTGTGTGTGTGTGTCAGTGTGTGTGTGTGTGTGTGTGTCAGTGTGTGTGTGTGTGTGTCTGTGTCAGTGTGTGTGTGTGTGTGTGGAATTCCTGTTTCTAAGGAAGACATCTTTTCCGACAGTTCTGTAATGCATATACGAGAATGCAGGGGATGCAGGGGGCCGCAGGCTTACCATCGGAGCTGCGGCCAACGAAGACCTCCGATGGTAAGTGTGAAAACGTACCTGCTGAAAACAACCATATCTCTTCTGAAGATTTTCCGTGGAGATTCTGAATGCAAGCTTCTGAAGATTTTCTGTGGAGATTCTGAATGCAAGCTTCTGAAGACTTTCTGTGGAGATTCTGCATGCAAGCACAATTCGAAGCGTGAAGAAGAAGATGACGATTCGAGACAACCAGCTCAGACTGGGTATGTGTGTGATTCCCGGTAGTAATTCTGCCA